AGGATGAGCTTGTAGCCCTTGGCGGCAGCCACAAAGGCCAGCCCAATGCCGGTGTTGCCGCTGGTGGGCTCAACCAGGGTGGTGACGCCTGCCAGGACAGAAAGCAGCAGCGAGAGGCTCAGCACTTGGTGGTAGCTCCGCGCACGCCAGCGGCGGGGCAGGGCAGCGCCTGCTGCGCTCGGGAGCAGGCGAGTGCTGTCGCTCCATGCATGTGGTTCAGGCGGCACAGAGGGCTGGCCCCGCTGCATGCTGCAGGCGCTGAGGTGTCAGCGCCTCCAAAGGGCTTGCGCTCCCGCCTGCGGCGGCAGCTAGCCAGCCCGCTGTGTGCTGCCCGCTGTGGCCCACCCACCTGGCTGGATCAAGCCCTTCTTCTCCGCATCCTCAATCATGTTGCGCCCAATCCTGCAGCACGCATGCGCCTCCAGACTCTCACACGCTGGTACAACTACCAGCAGTTGCAGCATGCAGAGCGACAACGCAGGCCACAAGGCGGGCAGTGGTCACTGCCTACCCCAGTCATGCGTGCACGACTGGGTCACTGCCTGCCCCAGTCATGCGCGCAACACTCCCCAATCACGCGCGCATGACACATCTCGTGCCCCACAAAAGAGGTGCCGGCCAGGCACCTGTCCTTGACGCTGCTGCATGGCTCGCAGCTCTCCAGCTTGGCCGCCACTCGCGCCACGCATCCCTTGGTCACGGTGTTCAGGTAGACGAGCGGTGTGTCTGCGGACGGCGACGAGGGTGGCCCCGGGGGCGCGGGACACGACCTCAACGGTGCCGCCGGAAGTGACGACGACAGAGGACAATATGCACACCAGTTGGGCAGCCGCAGGCCACACGGCTCCACCCCGCTGCAGTCCAGGCCGCACACCTCCAATCAGCTCTGTGACGTTGTCGGCTATCCGCTTGGTGTTCTTGGTGATCAGCGGGGTAGTACCGCTGGTCGGGGGGCGGCAGCGCCGGCAGGGGCCTCGGCGCGGACAAGCAGCGGTTGCCGGGACGGACGGGCCTGCATGGGGGCATTGGACAATGGGCATGGGCGAAGGCTGCTGGGGCCAACTTTTGGATCGGGGTGGCGGGGACACTGCTGCAGTCAACCGCAGGACACAGTCGACCTTGACGGCCAGCATGCTGCGGCAAGCACCTGGGCACGGCCCGCCGCGGCCAGGGCGGCCTGGCCCCGCGGGGTAGCGCAGCTGGGACAGGCCCTCGCCGTCAGTGCCTGCTGCATCATGTGCCGTGAGCACTGGTTGTGATGCCCGAGGAAGGGCAGGCCCTAAATTCACATGTCGAGCTGGACATGCCAGCAGGTCCCGCCACCTGAGCTGCAGCCTGGGAGCTGCTCCTGCATGCCGTTCGTCCCTGCATCGCACGATCGCCTTTACATCTGCCTACGACACGCCCCTTGCTGCTCTTGCCCAACAAGCTCGGCTCGCCACAGTGCGGAGCGGCTCCTGCGCTCCCTTTGCGTTTTGTGGCTCTTGCATCAGTGTCGAGACCTCCCTGCGGTCGCAACAGCCCGTCTCCGGGCGCCATCGCGGCTGGCGGGGGGTGGAGCAGCGGCCGGTCCCGCCTCCAGCAGCCAGGCTAGCCCGCCATGACGAGCGTCAGCCCCGGCGATGCCGCAGCAGCGCAGGCCTACGCCGCCAGCCAGGCCGCCAACCAAGGCTTCACCTCCCAGTCGGCCGAGTTCTTCCTGCAAAACTACCGGCTGGGCAAGACGCTGGGCATCGGCTCGTTTGGCAAGGTGTGGCCGGCCGGCCGCCAGCGACGCGCTAAGGGAGCTGCGCCGCCGCCAGCCGCTGGCCCGCCGCCACCGCCACCGCCACGCCCACCGCTGTGCCTGCCTGTGCTGTGGAGCAGGTCAAGGTGGCTGAGCACATCCTGACGGGGCACAAGGTGGCCATCAAGATCCTGAACCGCAAGAAGATCAAGCAGATGGACATGGAGGAGAAGGGTGAGGCGCTCGGCTGGCTCGCTGGCTGCGGCCGGCACAGGCGGCTGGGTGGCATCGACAGCCCCTGACGGCAGGCCGGGGCAGGCATCACATGCTCGACGGCCGTGCCCAGGCAGCCAGCACGTGCAGCCGCTGCATGCCGCCGCGGGGCATGGCCTTCCGCTGCTGGGCCCGACCCGCCTGCTGCCGGTGCCGCGTGGCTGCCCGCAGTGCGGCGGGAGATCAAGATCCTGCGCCTCTTCATGCACCCCCACATCATCCGACTGTACGAGGTGGTGGAGACGCCCAACGACATCTACGTAGTCATGGAGTATGTCAAGGTGGGCAGCGCGCACAGCAGGCACGGCAGGCGCAGCATGCCGGAGCACAGGTGGTCGCACCGGTCGGGGATGCCCATGCGCCCGCCACCCCGCAAGCCGGTCGGGCTCTGCCGCGGTCTGCCCACCAAATGCACCATTGCGCGCATCGCTCGATACTCCATCTCCTCGCCCCCTGCCCACGCGCCTCCTCTCTCCCCTGCCCACCCACACACCCAAGCAGGCGGGCGAGCTCTTTGACTACATTGTAGAGAAGGGGCGGCTGCTGGAGGACGAGGCGCGCCACTTCTTCCAGCAGATCATCTCGGGGGTGGAGTACTGCCACAGGAACATGGTGGTGCACAGGGACCTCAAGGTGGGCGCCTGGGTGTGTGTGCGCATGTGTGTGGGTGGATGTGGGTGTGGGTGTGGGTGGGTGGGTGTTGTGGGTGTTTGCAGGATCCAATGCTGCCCTGGGCTTGGGTGTGGGTATGGGACGCCGGCCTCCAGCTGGGGGGGCCCGGACACTGGGCGCTGCCAGTGGGGTTTGGCTGCAGTGTAAGGCAGCCGCTGGGTTGCCGACGGGAACCCGCCCCACACGCGTGCGCCCCTGCCCCTGCCCGCGTCACCCCCTGCGCAGCCCGAGAACCTGCTGCTGGACAGCAAGATGAATGTGAAGATCGCCGACTTTGGGCTGTCCAACGTCATGCGCGACGGGCACTTCCTCAAGACCTCCTGCGGCAGCCCAAACTACGCGGCGCCAGAGGTGGGCGCGCGTTTTGGGCGGCGCCGGGCGGCGGTGCGAGCGTGTGGTTGGTGGGGTGGGGTGAGGCTGGGTGATGGGAGGCGAGGATGGCTGGTGGGGTGTCCACAGCCGCCCGCCGTGGCTGCACCTGCTGACGTGAGATGCGGCCGCATGGGTGGCTGAGTCTGGACCCTCTGGACCGCACCCCTTCTGCGCTGCAGGTCATCTCTGGGCGGCTGTATGCGGGGCCCGAGGTGGATGTGTGGTCCTGCGGCGTGATCCTGTACGCGCTGCTGTGCGGCTCGCTGCCCTTTGACGACGAGAACATCCCAAACCTGTTCAAGAAGATCAAGGTGGGGGCTGGGTGGGAGACGCGCGGCAAGGAGGCAGCGAGGGAGGGGCGCAGGGGTGGAGGTAGTAGCAATGCGGCAATGTGGACGCGAACGGGCGGCTGGGTGTGCGTGACCGCCGAGTGCGTGGCTTGCATGGCGTGCCGCCGGGGCTGCACCCGACAGTCTGGTGTGTGTGTGCGCTCCCGCGTGCTGGCAGGGAGGCATCTACACGCTGCCCAGCCACCTGAGCCCGGGGGCGCGGGACCTCATCCCGCGCATGCTCCTGGTGGACCCGCTGAAGCGCATCACCATCCCTGAGATCAGGTACGCCGCGCCGCCGCCGCCACCTGCCTGCCTGCCACTTCCCAGCAGCAACACAGCCGCCTGCGCCCCACCCGCCATTGCACTGCCACAAACCCCTGATCGCCCCAGCTGCCTCACCCTCCAAAACTCACCCTCAGCCACCTCACCACCCACCCCCCTCACCCTCAGCCTTCTCATCACCCACCCTCCCACCCACACCACCCCCCCTCCCACAGGCAGCACCCCTGGTTCACGGTGCACCTGCCGCGCTACCTGGCGGTCATGCAAGCCGACCCGGTGGCGGCGGGGACGCACGTGGACGAGGACATTGTGAGGGAGGTGGTGCGCCTGGGCTTCTCCCGCGACTTTGTGGCGGAGAGCCTCAAGACGCGGCAGCAGAACAAGGTGGGGGTGTGGGCCGAGGCGGGTGGCTGGCAGTGGGGCTGGTGGAGGCGGGGCTGGCGGGTGGCAAGCGGTCCCGGGCGGTGCGGGCAGGCGGGCTGGGGCAGAGCTGGGCGGCTGCGCGAGGGGCGGGCTGCTGGGCGCGCCCTGGGACCTGTGTGCGCCTTGTGGCCTGCCGGGCTCTGCTGTCCACCCGCCCACCTTGGGCATTCCTCAGCCCCTCGGCCTCGTGCTCGCAACCCTCCCTCCCTCTCTACTCCCCCCACCTGCTCAACCCTCCTTCCCTCCACCCCTCCATCCCTCTCCTGCTCACAGCTCTTCCTCACTCACTCGCCTGCCCCTCCCTCCCTCCCTCCTCCTGCAGGCCTCGGTGGCTTACTACCTGATGGCCGACAACCGCCGCCGCATGCCCTCCTCCGCCTACCTCAAAGAGGAGATGACGGAGGCGACAGATGCCGCGCTGCAGTACCCCTCGGGTGAGGCTGGGGTGGGAGGATGGGGTGGCTGAGTTTGGCTTGGCTGGGTTGGCTTGGGTTTGGCTGGGCTGGGGCACGGTTGGGAGGCGATCAGATGCGGACCTGGCCTCACGTCGCCGCGCTGCCGGCACCCCGGCAGCGGCCCAAGTGCAGCTGCCGCAGCCAGTCACTCTACTGGCGCTGGTCTGCCGCCATGCCCACGTTGTGTTACCCATCCTGCCCTGCCTGGCCGGTGCCTGCAGGCATGATGGCCACCAGCCGCAGCAACACCAGCCTGCAGCCCGCGCCGCGCTTGGTGGTGGAGCGGCGCTGGCGCCTGGGCCTCAGCTCCAGGGCGCACCCGTCCAGCATCATGCAGGCAAGCAGCAGTACAGCAGTACAGCAGCACAGGCAGCGACAGCCCCGGCCCCGCCTGTAGTGAGAGTATGAGTCTCCCTAGGCAGCAGCGAGGGTACATGCAGCGGTGCAGGCATGCAGGCATCCCTCCCCTCCTGCCGTGTCTCACCGTCTCACTAGCTGCCGGGTGTACTGCCCGACTGTGCTGCAGGAATTGTACCGCACGCTGCAGTACTGCGGGGTGGCGTGGAAGAAAAACGGGCCCTACAACCTCAAGTGCCGCGCCATGCTGCGCCTGCGCGCGCCGCCGCCCGGCGACATGGACGGCGGCGGCGGCAGCGGCTCGCAGGCGGCGCTCAGCCGGCAGCTCAGCGGCGTGGCGTCTGACGACGGCATGGCTCTCGACGACCCCTCGCCCTCCCAGGCCGCAGGCGGCGGCCCGCTCTCCATGGCCGTGGCAGCAGATGACGCTCGCATGGACGGCGTGGCGCCCGGCGTGCGGCGGCCGTCGGGCGCGGCGGCCGCGGCCGAGGCGGCGGCGCAGGAGCGCGAGGTCAAGTTTGAGGCCCAGCTGTACAAGATGAGGGATGGGGAGTACTCGCTGGACTTCCAGGTCAGCATGCGTCAGCTCAGCATACGCCACATCAGCATGCGCCACATCAGCACAGCCAGCTCAGCGATGCCAGCACGCCGCCTGCGTGGCCCTCCCGGTGCCGGAATCCGCGGCGCCGCCAGCCTCGCCGCGTGCGCTCCGCCATGTACAACCCACCCAGGATGGCCATTGCCCGCGCTCACCCGCCCACCTGTGCCCTCTGCCCCATCCCCTGCTGCAGCGCCTCTCTGGCGACCTCTTCCTCTTCATGGACACCTGCAGCTCCATGCTGTCCGTGCTGCGGCTGTAGGGCCCCAGGCGTGCACACCACCCCACCAGCAGCCCTCGGCTGCAGCCACGGCGGCGACCGCCGCATCAGCAGCCCCCCATGGTTGCACCAAGCCCTGCGCCCACATGTGCCAGGCAGCTTTTCCCAGCCCCTGCCACCCTGTGCTCTCCCCACCTCCCTTAGTGTGCAGTTTTCCCCTAGTTTTGCGTCGCTGCTTCTCCTCCCCCGCTCATTTTGTCAATTTCCTGCTAGCATTTGCTGGTGCTTGGGTGCACTTGGAGCACTGCCCAAATTTTCCGCTCCCATGCGCAGCAGACAGCTTCCATGTGAGCATTCAAACAAGTCACACTCAGCAGGCACAAGTGAGGGTGCGGCATAGCAGCAGCACAAACGCACATGTCAGCCTCAGCAATGGCAGCAGCGGCCGTTGCCAGGTGCCGCACTGAGCAGCGAGCGATGCCGTCATCTGGCGCGCTTCTGCCGCCGCGGCTGCTTGAGCCGCACGGCGATGCGGATGGGCACGCCTCCAAAACCAAACTCCTTGCGGATCTGCGCCGCCACAAAGCGCTGGGAGGGGGCGGAGAGCGCCGTGCTGCCGCTGACCCAGGCCACAAAGGTGGGCGGCCGCGCCTTGACCTGCAACAAGCACCAACCGCTACACGCTTCACACCAAGTGCAGGGGGTGCTCGATGCGGCGCGACCAAACGGTCTGCTGCAGGCAGGCAGGCAGGAAGGCAGGCGGGGCAACTATGCTGCAGTGGAGGCGCCACAACGGCGCACCTGCGAGATGTATGTTATGCGGTTCAGCACCTGCCCGCCCCCCACCTGGTACTCTGCAGCTTTCTGCGGCAGCCGGCAGCCCACACAGGAGGCACATGGTCAGGAAACACTGGCACGCGTGGTCAAGCAGGCACGCGCGGGTGATCAAGCAGGGATGTGTTTGAGGAGGCATAGTGCCAAACAGGCAGCTCCTTGTGCAGCACGAAAGCAGCCACAGAGTCGAACCCAGCTCGGCAGCAAGTGGGCGAGAGGCAGGCGCGTGGCGGCTTGCCTTCTCCACCCAGCGGTTGAGGTGAGAGGTGGGCACGCGCTGGTTCCACCGCCGATACATGGCGGCGGCAGCCGGCAGCAGCATGCCCACGCCCTCCCCAGTCATCGCCGACATGCCGATGATGGGGACGCCGCTGCGGGGAGCGGGAGGGAGCAGCAGGGCGAGGAGGTGGGCCGGCACGGGCAGGCAAGGCGAGGCCACGCAGCGACTGGCCGGCACGCCATCGGGCGGCAGACGCATGCTCCGGCAGCCAAACACCGCCTCCTGCACAGTGCCTGCCCACCCCTCCTGGCCGCTCACCTGACGTCCGGCAGGTTGTCCTCTACAGCCTCCCGCACCAGGCGCATCGCGTGCTGGCGCTTGGCGGGCGTCAGCGTATCCAGCTTGTTGGCCACGATGAGCAGCAGGCGACCCTCCGCCACCACATCTGGCAGGCAGGCAGGCAGGCAGGCGCGGTGGGGCATGGGGGGTGAAGATAGGTGGGAGGTTTACGGACACGAGGCGAGTAGGCGTGCAGGGCAGGGCAGCACAGGGCAGCACAGGGCAGCACAGAGTAGGCGTGCAGCACAGGCCAGCACAGACCCAGCACAGCACAGCACAGCACAGAACAGAACAGAACAGCCACCCGATGCAAGCGTGATTTCTCGGTGCGTCAGCCCCTGCCCCAGCTCGAGGCAGCGCGCCGCGTCCACCAGCAGCGCCACGGCATGCACGAACTGCATCACGCCGCGCGCCTCAGCCACCGTCTGCTGCGCCACCGCGCCGCCTGCAAGCAAGCGGCAGGGCACAGGGGGGCGTGCGCAGGCCGGGCACACCTCGTCAGCTTCTGCCGGCGCACCATTCTGCCCACGGCTCCACACGACGCACGCCGCGCAAGCCAGCGCCGCCCTGCCATAACTGCCCTGCAGAGGCTCACAGGGGACCTCTCACCCTGCCCCCACCCCCTGCCCACCCGACTCGTCATAATTAGCCAGCTTGGTGCGCCTGATCCAGCCCGCCGTGTCCACCAGCTCCACCTCCTGCCCCTCCCACTCTATGCGCTCCTTGATGGCGTCCCGTGTCAGCCCCGGCTCGGGCCCCGTCAGGCACCGCTCCGACCCAAGCAGCCAGTTGGCCAGAGTGGACTTGCCCTGTGGGGTGGGAGAGGGGGCGGCACGCGCAGAGCCATGCTGCAACGCTTGGCGGGTGTGGCTTTCCACGCCAAGGTGGGCAGGGAAGACGGCAAGGGGCCGCCGCCGTGGGGGCCCAGACGAGGGAGGCCAGCGGGCGCTGGCAGCCCCGGATGCATGCCGAGTGTGCAGGCAGTGAGCGAATACCTTCCGCAGGCTGGAGGGCAGACACTCACCACATTGGGAAGGCCCATGATGGCTATTCTCAACGGCACGCTGCTGCCGCCGCCGCTGTTGCTAGTCTTCGGGTCCTCCTTCCCCCACTCCCCGCCCCCCGCCTGCTGCTGCACCGCCGCCCCTTGCCCGCCGAGCCCCCGCGGGGCCGCCGCCGCTGCCATGCCGCTGATGCCGTCGCTGCCGTCACTGCTGCTGTAGCCGGCGATGTCCGTGCTGCCGCTGCCGCTGGGGGCCTCTATTTGCTGCACCGCCGCCCGCCGCGCCTCGGTGAGTGGGTCCAGCAGCGGCTGCAGCGCCGCATACAGGTCGGTCATGCCCTCTCCAGTCATTGCAGACAGGGCCACAGGCTCCCCAAGCCCCAGCCGCATGCTTTCCGCCACCGCGGCAGCCACCGCGGCCGCCCCGCCGCCGCCCCGCCGCTCGCACTTGTTGGCTGCCAGCAGCACGGCGCAGCTGCGGGCGGCGGGGCCGGTCGCGCCCGGCCCCACCACCGTCTTGCGCAGCCATCGCGCCAACTCCTCATCTGCTGGCAGCGTGCCGGTGCTGCAGGCAGGCGGGAAGGCAAAGGCGGGGCAGCGAGGGTCACGATATTCCCCAGCTGTGAGACTGCACCAGCACACACCCAGGCGGCGGTACAGCCCATCCAGCAGCCCCTGGCCTCGACCCAGCCGCGTATCCGAGCCCCCCAGCCCAGCCCGCCCCACCTGCCGTCGACGAGGAACAGCGCAATGTCGGAGCGGGCGAGCACGGTGGCGGTGAGCACGGTGGCACGCGCCTGGATCGAGTCCCCAGGCAGGAAGGGCTCCAGACCCGAGGTGTCGATCACCCGAAACCTGCAGAGCAGGAGCAGGGATGCCTGATACACTGTATGATACCTGCCGGGGTCGGGGGCACGCCGCTGGCCGTGCCTTTGGGCGCGCACGCCGCGGTTCAGCCCCGCGGAGCAAAGCGCCCGCGCCCGCGCTCCGGAGGCCGCCCCGCAAGCGCACCGCAGGTCTGCCAGGCGGGCCACTCCCTCCTGGTAGTCCCGCGTGACGTGGCCGCCGGGCGTGTCGTGCACCACGGCCTCCCGCCGCCGCACCAGGCGGTTGAACAGGGCAGACTTGCCGACGTTGGGACGGCCGATGATGGCCACCTGGGTATGGCAGGGCTGGGCGGAGCAGCCTGAGCATGCAGCCAGAGGTCTACATGGATGCCATGTGCCTTGCGCTGAGCCCAGGCCAGCAGCGCAGTCCAGGGCTGGAGTGGGACAAAAGGTGGCGGGCGGGCGGCGGCGGCAGCGGCGGCGCGCACCACTGGCAGCAGGCTGTCGGGCAGCGCGGTGCTGTAGCAGCGGGCACATGCGTCCTCTGCGATGCTCCAAGCTGCCTTTCCGCGCCGCAGCCAGCCCGCAGCAACCCGCAGGCCCCGCATTGCGTTTGCAACGGCAGCGGCTATTGGGTAGCCCCTCTGTGCCCCTCAATTGGAATCGGCAGATCGAGATGCACCGTTTCCAGTGCCCGTGCGCGGGTTTCGACCCTGCCCAGCCTCCGTCCCGCCTCGGATGCAGTACAGGTCCACCCCAGAAGGCCGGGCGTGCCCCCGGCAGCCCGCACAACACACCAACCATGTCTGCTGACGAGGGCAGAGAGCGCGAGGTGCGCGATGCGCCGATGAACGAGGAGCGCGAGGAGCGCTCCAGCCGCGAGCCTGCCCCTGTGCAGCAGCACAAGTGCTTCGTGGGAGGCATCTCCTGGCACCTGGACGACCACAAGCTCCGGGAGGGTGAGCGCCGGGGGAGATCAGCGGGGGGTAGCGCGTAGGCCCGCTCTCTTGGGGTTCCCGCTCGATCAATTGGCCCGGGACGTGCCCTCCGTGCAGCCTTCGCCGAGTTCAACCCCACCGACGCCGTGGTGATGATGGACAAGATGACGGGCCGCAGCCGCGGCTTTGGCTTCGTGATGTTCGGCGACAAACGCGACCAGGACGCCGCCATCGAGGCGATGCACAACACGGAGGTGGACGGCCGCCGCATCTCGGTGACCAGGGCGGTGCCGCAGGCCGAGACGGCGCCGGGCACACCCGCCGACGCGCTGCGCAAGGGCCAGTTCGTGCCGCGCGAGGCCGGCCGCGTGGGCGGCTACAGGTGGGTGCCTGGGGTGCAGCGGTTCAGGTGCTTAGCCTGGGCGCCGCTGCCGTCTGCTGGTGCAGCATGCGCGTGGCTAGCACCCACCTAAGCCTCGCGTTTCCTCAACCGGTCCCCTCTATAGGGGTGGCGGCGGCGGCGGCTACGGCGGTGGCGGTTACGGCCGCAGCGACCGCGGGGGCTATGGCGGCCGCGAGGACTACTACCGTGGCGGCGGCGGCGGCTACGGCCGTGATGACTATTACCGCGGCGGCGGCGGCGGCTACGGCGGCGGCGGTGCGTTCTCTCTGTGCCTGTAGCTGCCTGCCTGCTGGGTGCCAGACCCTGGCCCTAGCTCTGTGCAGGCTGGCTGGCTGCTGTGTCCAGGCCACACCCTTGCCGCTCCAGCCACTCACAAGCAGCCCACATGCACGCTCATGCTGCAACAAACTGCAGTCGTCGCCGCTGCTTCTACTGTGGCTGCCGCAGGCTACGACAGCAGGGGGTATGGCGGCGGCTACGACCAGCGCGGCGGGTATGGCGGCTACGACCAGAGGGGTGGCTACGGAGGTGAGTGGTTCGCCCGCGGCGCCCAGGCCAAGCGACCTCCTCTGCGCGGCCCTCCCCCGGCCCTATTGAGGCACAACAGTCGAGCTGGCCTCGCCTGGCCGAGTGTGCCGCTGTTTGGTTTCCGCATTCTCACCACCCCTGCCGTCCCTGGCCTGGCCCGCCCCCATCGTAGCGACTGCAGGGTACGACTATGGCGGCTACGGCGGCGGCGGCGGCGGCGGCGGCTACGGCGCCAGCGCCGGCTACGGCGCCGGCTACGACCAGCGTGGCGGCGGTGGCTACGGCGGCGGAGGCGGCTACGACGATAGGTGGGGCGTTGCAGGGATGCGCTGGGGGGGGTGATGGGATGCGCCTGGGAGACCATGCCGTGTCCTGCACCCTGCCGCCCAGCGCATGCAGAGCATGCCTGACACCTTGCCTGCCTGCCTGCCTGCCTGCCTGCCTGCCTGCCTGCCTGCCTGCCTGCAGGGGCTACGGTGCCGAGCGCGGCCACGCTGACCGCCGCGGTGCCGGGCCCTACGATCGCCGGTAGGCTCAAGGCTCTCCGAGCCATCCAGCAACCAGCCGGCAGGCTTGCAGGGCTCAGAAGAGCCCGGGAGGAGCAGAGCAGACGCAGAGCCGGCAGCTGACCAGCTGGCCAGCCACCTCCTGAGCCAGGCCGACAGTTTGTGTGTGTGTGTGTGTTCCCAGCCTGCCCGTTTTTTCCTGCCAAGCAGGGCGCTGGGCAAGCAGCGCCGGGACAGGGCAAGGCAGCGTGCAGAGCTCTGTGCTTGTGTAATCGCGACAGATTGGCAGGCAGGCTGGCAGCCCAGCCCTCAGCATCAACATGCTCCAGCTGCTAGCCCCACAGCTCAGCTGTGACAGTATTGCTCCAGCACAAGCCAGTATTGTTCCAGTGTGGCAGTATCCTTCCAGCACAAGCCAGTTATGGGGCATGCGCCAGGCAATCCACCACAGCACAGCCCAGACATCAGCAGGCAGGCAAGCTGCCCTGCGCTGCTGACCGCTGTGCTGCCCCTGTGTGCAGGTGCAGGCTGACCCCGGCGCCGCAGCTGCCTGCAGCCCTCAAGTTGCCGCTTGCGCGCTGCAGCTGACTGCCGGCTGCCAGCGGCTGCTGGTTCAGCTCTCTGTGGCATTGCACTGCTCGGGCAGCGTGTAGAAAGCGGCAGGCTGAACCCCGGCCCAAGATCGCAGTTGTATGGGTCAGCTTTTGGGGGGTGGCCGCAGGCCTGTCTCGGCGGTGCTGTGGGGATGCTGTGCCCGAGGCCTGCGCAACACAGCAGTTTGTTTCCAAGGCCCTGTCAACCATGACGTCATTGGTGAGTGTTCTCCCAATGGCGGCATGCTTTGCAGGCACAGCAGGCAGGCTCTGATGCAGCATCTTGCAGTTTAGCTGGGCGATGAAGCAGAGGGCTGCGGCAGCCTGGGGAGTGTGCTACTGAGCGGCAGGCAGGTGTGCCACAGCCAGCTCCCAGTTCGGCGGCATGGCGGCAGGAGACGGCAGAGGAGAGCAGGCAAGCCCAATGTGCGTGCATGTGCCCGTCTGTGAAAATTGCGCCCTCTTTTGCGCCACTCTTGCAGGCACCCGGTGGTCTTCACCACCCCCCAAACCCTGGAAACTTGATTTGAGGCGCAATACATTCATTAATATGAACAAAATTGAACCGTTGTAAATTGCCAACGAGAGAGCAGCAAAACAGCAGAAGCGAGTAGCAGCAGCAGCTAAACAGCTAGAGCAGTGCAGAAGTACATTGAATCATTGTGGGTACAACGGGAAAGGAAAACAACAGAAAAACGGATGGGCTATCCCGGATCAGGCAAAACTTCGGGCGTGCGAGCCGCATGCGTGTGCGTGCGCTCACTTCCCATCTGGCGCCTCCTCTTGCGTGTTGTACAGCTGCTTGTGGAACTCCTGCTGCACAACGTCCTGTGCACACAGAGCCAGGCAGGGCCAGCAGCCGGGATGGGCATCAGCCAGCAACAGGAGCAACCTTTCTGTGCAACACCGGCGAGCAAACCGGGGGAAATGCAGGGTCAGCACAGCCCGGGCACACTCCCACCCGCCTCACCCGCTGCTGCTTAGCCAGCGCCACCGCGTCCTGCCAGCTGGCCACCTCTGCTATCTCCTTGTACTGCATCCCCGCCAGCTTCCAGGCCGCCACCGCCAGCACCCCCAGCCCGGCACACATCACGCTGGCCGCTGCCAGCGCCTTGGCCTGCAGCAGCGAGGAGGCGCAGGCATGTGACGGCAGCGCGTCTGCCGGCTGCCGGGCGCATGGCGTGCACAGGTTGCAACAGCTGAGCTGCTGCTCCTCTCGGCGCAGCTTCTCACCGCAATCGGCAGAAACTTGAGCCGCGCCCTGGGGTCCACGCCATCCTCCGCCAGCTGCTTGGCCGTGCCTGCAAAGAGCGCAGTGAAGAGCACGCCGCCAAGGATCGGCCGCCGCACTCCCGCCGCCCCCTGCAACTCCCGCGTGGCCCCATTAGCGATTTATGATGTCCACCTGTTCGTTATTCACCTAGGTAGTGGGAGGAGAACCCAGCGAGGGCCCCGACACCAAGCGAGAGAGCGCCCGCTCCCACCGTCTGCAAAGGCGTGACTGACCGAGAGGTGCTCGTGCTGCTGTCCTGGGGGTCTGCCATTCTGCTGCGCCGCGCAAAACTGGGCGAAGGCGATGTATCTGCTGCCGAGCACCGCCAACACAAGCCCGCAGCAGCTGAGGACGATGTTACGGGGATGCGCAGTGCAGACAGGAGCGGGCAGGCGCGTCGGGAGCCGAGATGAGGCTGCATGGGCGCCGCCACATCACTCCCGCCTGGCTGGCCGCTTTGCATGGCTTGCCCGTCGTTTGTGCCTGGCGGCTGAGTCAGGCACCCAGCAAACCCACGAGCAACCGTGGCCGGGTGCTGGCTGGGCTGCCGTTGCTTCACCTGCCGGCTTGGCCCCTGGGCTGGCCGGTTCCGCCGCCGGAGCTGCTCTCCTCCCCCGTGCTGCCATCGCGGCAGCAGTCCATGCCAGGTGCTGCAGACAATGTAAGTCCTCTTGAAAGCACGCCAGAGGGGGGGCATGTTGAGCTGCAGGGCCGTGTAGGGAGTGCAGGCGTCGGCATGCTGCAGCCCATATGATGTGGCAGGACTGGCGGTGTGGGGCCCAGGCAGGAGCCAACCGCCACAGCCCCACCGACGCCTGGGAATGCCGTCCGGTTACAAAGGTTGAAGTGCGCTAAGCAAACTGTGACGCCGCCTCCCCGGCCAGCGCAGTGCGGCCAACCGCTGCTGCCAGGCTGGTTGGCTCAGGGTGAGCCGATGCTGGCATAGAACAATAACTCATCAGTGCAAAGACAGCAGGGAAAAAGCGCTGAGATCCACCGCCGCGGCGTGGCTCAGCTGCGCCGCTGCCGCCGCATCCCCCTCCTCCTGCGCCGCCCGCCACAGGCGCTGCGACATCTCGAAGGCCCGCCTGGGGTGCTCGGCGTTGACGATGGCATCCATGTCGATGGCATCGCCGCCGGCGGGCGGGTCCTGCAACCCGGAGTGAGAGCACAGGGCGGAAGCAAGAGGCCAGCTGAAAGCGTGCCTGCTAGCCGGCACAGCGCCACACAGCTCAAGACAAGAGGGGCCACGCCGCCCCCCTGTGGCACCTCCTTGTACCCAGCAGCCCCACACCCGCTCAGCCGCACCTCCTCTGGCCATGGCGAGTAGCCAAACACCACAGAGTTTTGATCCCTGCGCCGCTGGCGCTGCAGCGGCACAGCAAGGGAGGCGGCAGGGATGCAGTTTCAAGCATAGCAGGGGAGTGGTGCGAAGCAGCAGTGCCTGCGAGTGGTATGCAGGACACGTGCTGCGGGCGAGAGCGGGGGTGCCGCGCAGCATCAGCATCAGCTGCAGATGTGGGCGGGAGGCTGCCTGCCGGCCGTAGGGAGCCACTCACCACATTCAGGCGGTCCTGCACGTCGTCAGGCACCGGCCATCCCATCTTCCTGGCCTGATTTGCCAGCAGGGTGTCCACCACTGTCCACCTGGACAGCGACTCCAAGATCCCGCTCTGCACTGTAAAACTGCGATCCAGTGCGTCGTATGCGGGCCTCGCCAGCAGGTGGCCGCTCGCTGTGCGCGCCTTGAAGGCGAAGAAAGTGGGCAGGAACTGATCTGCACGGAGGCGGCGGGAGGTGTGTGCAGGAAGCGGTGGCCAGGCACGCACTCGAGTCGTCCCCCACACAGGTCGCCATTTGGTAATATGGCAGCCGTGGCGGCGGGACAGGCGGGCGGGCAGGGCAGCCTGGCAGGCGCACCCAGTATGAAGCTCTCCACAGCTGTGAAGCTGGGGTCGCCAACGTTCACCATGCGCACGGCAATCAAAACCAGCTGCATGCCCTTGATGATGCCCTGGCAGGCACCCTCGGACAGCACGCCGCACTCCAGTTGGGCCACCACCCCCGTCTGCAGGCGGCAGCCAATCAAGTGGGGGTGGTGCGCGTGTGCCGCAGCTCCGTATGGCCACCGACGCTCAGCACAGGCGGCAGGAAGCGGGTGGCCACACACCATCCCCATCTGCCCACCATCCACCTGCGGCCAATAGCGGGCGGAGGTATCGCCGGGGAAAAAACGCAGGGCCGGTTTTTTTCTTGACTGAAGCGGGGCAGGCGCTGGGCTGCCTGCAGGCATCAGGGA